TCTTGGCGTGGATGGGGAGGGAGCTATGCAGGTTCTTGAGAATTGCAGAGTGTCGTGATGCAGAGAAGAAGAGAGGGAAAGGGAGGGAACTTAAGGAGAGCTTGTGGGGTGGTTCAAGTCTCTTTTGTGGTGTAAATGGTGTGGGTAGTGTTAGCCCATGCGTTTGTTGCCCTGCCCATGCAAGGCAAATATTAAGTGCTCAAAGCTTGTGGGGCTGTATGAGAATTGTTGGAGGGTTTTGTGCGGCTACATTGAGAGTACTAAGTTGTGACGGCATTTTGGTGATCGTTATGAGAAATATTGTAGAGAGAGAGAGAGAGAGTAGAATAGGGTTCTTCATTTGTATTCTCGTAAAGTGGTGGTCATGGCTAATAGATGTTAGGTTTTCTTCGGTGACCGATTTAAAACGAATGTACATCGGTGACGGATTTAAAACGAATCTACTTTGTAGAGATTTGGGGAGATCACTATACACTTAGCTAAAAAGTTACGGGACTAAAGTTTGTCAAGCTAAAAGACAAAGATTTCGCCCGAGACTAAAGTTCGAAAGCCCGTCACAAAAGAAAAGGCGCATGAGGGGTCTAAAAGAGATTATATGACAGGACAATCCTGGAAAATATTTGTGAGATATGTGAAAGTGTTTTGATGCAATCTATAAGTTCTTAAGTTGCTGCTAAAGTAGATCTAGGCAAGAACTGAGGGTTTTTGAAACTGATGTTATACATCTGGTGTGGAGGGGGTTCCTGGTATATCAGCAATTCGCATGCTGAATGGCTGTAAAAGAGCTCCTTTGCAAGGATAGTCCATGTTACATGCGCAACTTGATATTTAAGGTTATGCTAGAAGGTACTAGTTGGATGATCTTAAAATCACCTAAGTTATGCCAACTCCCCTTATATTAAAATCCTATTTACGAAAAATTGTCTAGACTCATCTTTGACACTGCATCAACATAGAAAATATCGTTACGACATTTTTCTACAACTTGTCTAAGCAAAATGCCACTATATGAGAGACTTAAGTGATCACGGTATTGAAAGTTATAACGTAATGACTTTGTTCTCAACCACACAACTAAATTGCAAAGATATTTTGTCCATTCGTTAACTTGTGTCCCGACGGGCACTCTTCAAGAAACAATATATCCAAAAGAAATTTTGCAATTTTTAACATACAGATTGTCTCGTATTATTTGTAGTCACTATTCTAAGAATTGCAATTATTTCTCATTTAATATGCTTAACAAGTGTCCAGATGAACCCGTTAGTCCATTACTATGACCCTGGTACAAAAATGGAATGGAATTTTATCTTGAGAGGAAGTTTCAATGTTCTGATTAGGCGGAGATGAACCAGCAATGAGACAACTTGGCATGTAAATGAACAGATGAATGATCTTTCTCACACTGGCCTCATAATTCTTTAAACAGCAAATGCATGACCATTAATGTTGGAAAGGTGTCAAATGGATTGATCCATGAACATAAGCATAAGTATCGTTTATAAGTGATCGGGAGTTCTAGAGGAGATGCTCTGGGAGAAAATGAACCCCAAACATATTAACACGTACTTATTCAACATAGGCGCTTTTTTTGGATCTTTGGTTTTGATTAAGTGTTAACTTCACCGGAAGAATGGGAGGTTTCGCTCTTATGAGAGCCTTCGCGGCCTATCCATTTGCTTTACAGGGATGGCGGGCTCCACGGATGCGTTCCTTCTTTTAATATGTCGGTTTCCGCACGCCTCCACATCCAATTCTTCATGTATTTTTGTCTTTCCCAAAAAGAGGGAATACCCTTTTAAAATTTTTACATTCTGGTAATCCCGAGGTTCAAACGAGAACCGAGATAAAATTTTTGAAGAACCTACTCAAGTGCTCTAAAAAGAAAAAATACCTTCTAAAAGTTTTACATCCTAATAATGACAAAGGGAATGGAGAAGAATTCAGCTAAGAGGGAACACGCTTAGCCTCTCTAGTGTCATCCATATCCAAAGTAAGATCAAGGCACATGAATGTCGATGCTGATAAAATCTTGAAGTTGGCTGTGAAATTGTACGTTCCTTTGCTCGATTAGGACATGCATGTTGACTGAAATTTACGAAAGACTGCACTCATGTGGAGTAATGCGAATGAATGCTTGTGAACCCCACACCCATTTAATGGATCGGCTCCCTCCCATTCCGAAGACGATCGACAAGTGTTCCGACATGATTCGGTACTGAATCTTCGACGGATGTCATTGATCCGATCTATACAAGCTTTTTTTATTTTTAATCATATCTTTGCTATTTCAAAGTCCCGTTAAGTATCATGGTCTTCTAGTGACTTGACTAACGACACCTCGCTATCTCTTTTAGAGTACGCTTTTCCCCAGAAAATCCCCGTTTTTATTGCTTAAAAAAAAATAGATAAACGAAAAATGATTTTATTGTACACGAAAATATTTAAGCATAAATAGCTGTTGATAATGAAAATATTCTTTGTTGACTAATTATTTCAAAAGATATAATCAATCATTTTAAAGAAAATATCTTTCAAATCATTTCATTTTTCGCGAAATAAACCAGCTTAGACTTCGTAAGAGTTAGATCTTGGACTTTCTGTTTTGTACTTGTGGTACCTAGCTCATTTACCCAGCCAATAAAATAGATCAACATATAGGCGTATTCTTGAAAATCTTGGCGTTTGTCAGTGTATGGGGACAAAATATACGTAAGTCTAGCTTTCTGAATTCCCAGAGCCAGCGCTACGGTTGGCACATTAAAAATGAACTTTCATCATCATCCATAGCATTTATAGCATTTATAGCATTAGCATTAAACACATTTCATATATTTTTAATAGCATTTGTCAGATTTTCCAATATTGCAGAAGTCAAGGCCATGGAGGCAAGGCAAGATGGGGCCATTACGAAGTTGGTATAGAGGTTGCTGATTAAATTTGGGGACCTGCAGTGCAGAGTGCAGACACAGGGCAGGGCAACGAACACCTATCTCACTTGCAGTTGCCTTTATGCTTTGCCTTGCGCTATAATAAATGGCATTGAATTGGGTTGTTGCATCGATGATGATGCCAATTTGGGATATTTGGATCCCTACATCACACACGCCGGACCAGAAAGGGGTTGAACACGGGCCGGGCGATCGGTTCCGAGTGCTCGAACCATAGTCGACCTTCTCGGGAACGAGCGACGGCGGAATCGTTATCTAGGATGGGGCCGACCTGGACAGCTCCAAAAGTTAACTTCAATCGAGAACCAGGTCCCCTTTCTTGAAACTATTGTGATCCCAAATTTAAGCGATCACAACCAATCCAAAACCGTGTTAAAAAGAATAAGAAATTACGCATTAAGGGTGCGTATTATAACCATTATATTTTCCCGTTTTTCTATTTTTTTTGTTACCGAGAACAGGTTTCGAACAGAAATCCGTTTGGCAACGCAACTTCTTGTTTTTTATTTCCGGGACAAATTTTTAGCCTATAAAGAAATGACTATTTCTGGAATAAAAACAGAAATAACAATTCTCTTATCGCTCGCCACCACCGCCCGCCGAGAACAGAAATTTAAAAATAACTTATCAAATAAATTTCTATTCCGGGAATAGGAATTTTATATCATTATCAAGCACTACTTTCTACTCATAAACTCGTTCAGGGAATAGAAATAGATTTTTCTATTTCTTGTCAAAATTAGGGTCGGAGAAGAGAATGGTTTTCCTTCGCGCCCTAAACTACTACAGAAGCAAGGGGAACCCATCTTTTAGCCTCGCGGTATAGTGTTACAAGAAGTGTTTCCACAATAATGCAACTTTGCCACTGGAGGGAAATCCTGCATGAAGTACTTGGCCCATTTCTTTGGTATTCAGGCCGAGAGGCTGCAGTACCATGCCAGCGCTTTGCCACGCCAACCTATGTCGTGCCGAGGCTGACACACGGTGCAAGCACATGACGTGCGTGCCATCCTCTCGCCCTCGATGAGAAAGTGTCATGCTTAGGAGCCCCGAGCCCATTCACCATTTTCAAGAGGGAAAATGACACAAACAGCTTTGAACTTTGACCCGTGCATTTGATCCGAACTTTTAATTTATTCAATGTAGTCCTAACTTTAGCTCGATATTCAATTTGGTCCCCGAACTTTTAATTTGTTCAATGTGGTCCCGAACTTTTAGTATGTGTTCAATTTAGTCCCGAACTATTTGAAAATGTTCAATGTAGTCCTTCTATTAATTCAAGTGCAAGGACTACATTGAACATTTTCATATAGTCAGGACTAAATTGAACATATGCTAAAAGTTCGGGACCACATTAAACAGATTAAAAGTCCAAGAACCAAATTAAACATTAGGCTAAAGCTCGACTATATTGAACAAATTAAAAGTTCGGTGATCAAATGCACGGATCAAAGTTCGAGATCGCTTTTGTGTCATTATCCCTTTTCAAGACCAATGAAATAGGACAAGGGAAGTTTCGATGAATGAGATTAACTCTGTAAGAGTTGCGTGGAAAATAACAATGCCTGAGATCAAAGATAATAATGGAATTCAAAAGAGCTGCGAATTTCAAAACCTTAAAACAACTTCAAGTTTAGAAGAAGCGAGCTCATAAGCTGGCCTGCCATGCAAGCCCATACAGCTTGTTATGTGGATCGTTCTGTGGCCTGTTATGTGGATTGTGCCGTGCTAACCTACTTCTGATAGCACACCTAGTGCCCAATGCACGACCCGTGCTGCAGCATGCAAGCCTAGCCAGGCACAGCCGATAGCATGCCCGGTCGGACCACGCGCAGGCAGCTCAGTCAGTCACTGCACATATTGTCACAACTGGGCAATATCTTGAGTTCATCAAGTGCCTAAAGAGTTCGGCAACTCCATCAAATTAAAAAGAAAAGGCATTCTCGCGATTCAAGTAGTTGCTTCCTACTGAACTATATCACATCTACTCAAAGGGAAGATCAAATAATTCGAGCACCAACGAAACTATGTATGGCATGACATCGTGGATGGAACAGAATCAGCTACAAATCACTAGATTGAGAGCCAGTGTACATTAAAAATTATGATAAAAAACCAAAGATTACTTGGCCACAAAGCCAAAACAACCGCACGTCATGTGAAACAAAAATTACTTGCAACACTTTTAAGACAAAATCCTAAGTCTTCGAGACTACTCAAGAAAAGATAAAGAAAAGGCTGACTGACAGTTCCTCGAACTAGTAACGCCCAGTGCCCCAAACTCTGATCACACCATCATTGTATCCACTAAACAAGGTGCTTCCATCTGCACTCCAGCACAAGCTCGTGCAGTATATAACCTGCAATTTCCAGATGTAACGATCCAAATAATCAAAATCATGTTCATCATTCATACACAACTCCATGTCAAAATTTATGTGAGTCAATAAATCTCAGGCATGATGATTGTTCTGACAATGTCATTTATTTGACCACAAAGAACAGAACACAGAGCGCAGTAAGAATGATAAGCAGGTGAAGAAATGCCATGATACTGATTAGATCCTCGATCAATCCAATTATGTCACAGAGTTTGGCCCAAAATAAATGACATCCTCTCAAGAAATACAGCCAATGCCCAGAAGACAAAGCCATTGCACCAAATGACTGCTGAAAAATGCACAACCAGTGCAACGGAATACAGCATTATTGAGACCATTATCATTTTAAATTTATTAATATGCAAATGCACCGAGGAACGCAGAATCTGAGCAAAAATTCCTACTTCAGACATGGCCATACAGATAGATGATAGAAGCTACATATCCTCAAAATGCAATGAAAATGGACAGGAACAAGTTCAAAGTACAGAAGAAAATAGTTTAAGGTCTAGCCAACAAGCATGGAAGAAGGATTAAAAAGTGGGACCACATCAAACATCCATGGATGCAAAAAATAGGTATACTCACACTAGACAGTCGACATTGAGACAGAGGAGAACTGTGCACCAAAACGTTAGTCAGGAATTTTACCTTCTTATTTGAAGCGGCAGTTGTGGTTCCGTCAGTTTTGTCAGCTTCATTTTTCAAATCAACCCTCAAATCTTCGACAATGCTCTTGCTTTCAAGGTCCCAGATTTTGATACTATTCTCAGTAGCGGCACAGAGCCAGTATCTATTGGGGCTGAAGCAAAGAGAGTGAATTATAGCACCAGCCTCGAGACTATACAGCCTCTTGCCCTCTGCCAAGTCCCACAACAAAATCACTCCATCCTTGCCACCACTAGCGCAGAGTGACCCATCAGGAGAGACAGCTACCGTATTCACATAGCCATTATGTCCCATCAAGGTGTTCCTGAGCTTGCAATTGGTCAAGTTCCAGACCTTGACGGTTCGATCCCACGAAGCAGATACAATGGTGGGTTGCAGATTGTTGGGACTAAACCTCACGCAGCTGACCCAATCAGTATGGGCGTCACCCTCCTGAATCGTGTACTTGCACTCTCCTAAAGTATTCCACAGCTTGATGGTGCGATCGCGAGATGCCGACACAATCTGGCGATTGTCAATGGAGAATGCCACAGAAAGCACGTCCTTGGTGTGGCCCACGAACCTATAGTTGACCCACCAGCACAAAATTAACAGTTTCACATTCGGGTAGCGTCCTACATTGCCAAGCTCTAGCCAAGAAGAACTCGATTGGCCAAATTCAGTCACGATTTTCGCTACAGCATAACTTAACAAAAGGCCCATCATACGAATCTAATTCCAACAGGACGTAAAGTCACCACTCGCGACGAGACATGCATCACACAACTAAAGGGTTGCCCTTTTTCAATCTCAGCCAGCAACATCACTACGCAAAAGACCCTACTCTCATACCACTACACAAAATTCCGGTTTTCTATTCCGAATTAACATTCTGATCGACGAAAAGGGCATAAAATGCGAAAAGACAATGACAACCACAAATCTAAGTATCCTCGGACACACTTGCAGGGAAACATTCTAATTGAAAGCATTCCAGCATTTACCAGATCAGACTACACTACGCTCTATGCATCGATACAGGAGACCGATCCAGAGAAACAAAGCAGCTGTAAACATGTCGATGCGCAGAGATTCAGAAACCGGACCTGCGAGCGGACACGCCGGTGGCGAGGTCCCAGAGGCGGAGCTCGCCGTCCCAGGATCCGGAGAGGGCGAACTGGCCGTCGGAGGAGAGGACGACGTCCTGGACGAAGTGGGAGTGGCCGGTGAGCCGGCGGCGGGGGACGCCGTAGACCTTCTCCTCCTTGGTGAGGTGCCAGAGGATGATGGACTTGTCGCGGGAGGAGGTGACCACCATGTCGGCGTTGTCGATCGGGGCGGCGATGGCGGTAACCATGTCGGTGTGGGCCCGCATCGTGCCCTTGAGGATCAGTCCCTCCGCCATGGCCTTAGGGTTTCCGAGGTGAGGGATGAGCTTCTTCGGCGAGCGAGGCGAAGGGTTGGAGGGGGCAAAAGGCGCGACCAGAGACGGATGGTAGGGATGGAAGCGAGATTATATAGTCCCCCCCCCAGGAAATTAGGGTTTCGTGGCGAGAGTCGTCCGCTCATGTTGGACCAAATTAGATTAGTCAATTATCATCAATATCAAACAATGGATAAAGTCCCTTTTTGTTTTTTGCCGGAATTTGAGTATAAAATGGATAATGAAATCTCCATTAGACCCGCTCGTTGGGGCGGGCTCGGGCTAGGGTCGACCTCCTGCCCGAACCTTCAGAGGTCCTCCTCAAACCCGCCGGGGTCAAGTGTCCGACCCTCGCCCTTGAGGGAAATCCACGAACGAGGGTGTATGTGGTTCGATTTGGAGATATTTTGGACCGAATTGAACTTATCAATTTGGAAAAATCTCAATCCAAACGACGTGGATGAAATTACGACTCAAACCAAATCAATCATTTAGTTTTGTTATCAGTTTGGTTCGATTTCGAACTGGAACGAACAAGTCATATTAGGGGGAAAATTGTCCAAAAAGTCTTAGACCTATTACATTTTTGCCAATTCAGTCCTAAACATTTTCACTTCTTGCCAATTGAGTCCTTCGGGCCAATTTTGGCCGGCCTGAGCTGACGTGACAATTTAAAAAAAAATTGAATTTTTTAATCTTTTTTTTTTTTTTTTTTTTTACTTCTTCCCTTTGGTCGGTTGCCGATCGCCGATTGCCGGACCGGCTAGAGGGAAGAAGTCAGAAGAAAAAAAGATTAAAAAATTCGAAAAAAATATTAAAAAATTGCCATATCAACATTAGCCGGACAATCAGCGTCAGCTGGTAGCCACGTCAACGTTGGCTGGACAGTCGGCGCCAGCCGGCGGGCCAAAATTGGCCGGATAGACTCAATTGACAAAAAGTAAAAAGGTTTAAGACTGAATTGGGCAAACTTAAAATGTTTAGGACTCAATTGGTAAAAATGCAATAGGTTTATGACTTTTTGAACAATTTTCCTTTTATTAGGAGTTAGAAGTTTTAATGCGTATGTAGACTATATAACTTCAATGTGTAATGGAAATTACATAAAGAAACACTTGTTTCTGCACACTTATTGAAAAAAGGAACTATTCGCAATTAAATCATATTAAATTATCGAAACATCAAAATTTTTAAACTTGATGAAAAAATACAAAACATCGTATAAAACTCTTTAGTAAGTATTATTTGATGTTGAATATCGAACAACAATAGCCAACTTGAGAAATAGAAATCTCTCATTTAGCTAAGCAGAGGAATCTTAGATAGGAGCTTACTTGGTTAGGCTAGATTAAAAAAAATGATTAGTCAAAAGGAAAATAATTTTATTTCTTCAACTTATCGATTGTGTTGGGCTTTATTAATTACAGAAGTTTTAAACCCAAAATGAACCAATAAACCCAACTTATCCATTTATCAGTTTGGTTCGGCTCGGTTTTTCATTTTATAAATTTTTAGCAAACAATAAAATATATATTAAAACAAATGAAAAATACTTTTAGGGCTTTATGTTATTTTACTATTTTATCTATGATTTTTGCATTATTTTTCTATTTTACATTAGAAATTTGTGCTTATTTTACCCTTTTAGCATTCATAAATGTAAAATGTCAAAGTAAAATTATTAATAAAACATTATCTACCAATTTTTTTCAGTAAAATATGGGCAAGTCGGGTCTTGCCTCGAATTTTTTGCATAGGCTCACCTAGTGGGGACTTTTTTATGGTAATGTCTAGAAAAGTAGAAATGTGCATGCCGATATGAAACTCTCTCGATCTCAAGTACTTAAAATTAAAATATATTTTACGTGGTTTAATTTCGAGAAAAATAGTTTATGGTCATTTTCGAGTGCATAAGTCAAATCGTACATGAGAAAATGGCCAATGAATTAAGATTGACGACAAACTTCGATAAGAATAGTGACAATTTGTTTCTGTTATCTGACTAATAATCTACATGAGTAGCTTGTATCCGAGATTGATAATAGTTGAAATTTCTAATTCTCAATTAAGTCTAATGGCAATCTTGAAGATACGTACTCACAGACGTTTCTTTCAATTTGTACGCCACGTTTCTCTTTTTATATTATCAATCGGGTCATGAACATATTGTAAAGATGTAAAGATGATAATTAAATTTTAAACTTTCTAATTTCATAAATTTTATCTTAAACCTGTACACAAAATCAAATAAACTTTTTAATTTCATCAATTTTATCTTAAACGTGTGCACAAAATTGAATGTAGTCATTTGCACGTGGGGAGTAAATTTGTCTGCTTAGGATGGTCGGCGGCAACAACATGACGCCATATTATTGCTTTTCCATCGGCAATTGGTTGAAAGGATCGCAATTTCGCGAAAAAATTTAGAATTTGCATTAGCAAAATTGAAATAAAGCTTAGGACTGAAAATCAGCATCCGTTGAAGACTAACTTGGTTATTTATTCTCGTGTTTTCTCAGCCTATCATGGAATAAAAGTTTTCGCACATTACATTAATTTCAATAAATAGTTTGTACGATTAGAAGAGGCAAATTTGGGTTTTGGGTGGCGAGATGGTGCCGGAAACAGAAGATTGTTAAGAGAAATATCATTTCAGGGGACTTCACTTATATCATCACTTAGATGGGTCACGAATCTTAAATTCAATGTCTTCGTATTACATTTGTACATTGCCAAAAAAAAAATAAAACACATACGAAAGATTTCACTCTTACAAAACAATAGCACAAGCTTCAAAACTACATTTCTCTCTATCTTACAAACCGCTTAAACACAGACATTTCTTCAAAACCCTGCGACTCGAGCTTCTGCATCTTCACGATCATCCTCCATTCCTGCTCAAAACATATAAAGACTAAATCGAACCCTGGACTGATAGAGAAGAAATAGTAAAAAGTAAAATGTGAAAAAAGGCTGGTGCATGCAGTACCTACAGCCATAACATCTATTACCCTAGGTCAAAACTCATCATGCATCATTGTCACCGAATTACTGAGGAGCGCACAGACCAGTTTGACCCAACAAGAAGATTGCTCGAAAGAGTAGATGAAAAAGCATCTGCTGCCAGTATATAGTGCCAAGTCCCCCATAACGTACCAATTGCTAACACCTTACATTCACTTGATTTCTCATACCTATCCCATTTGAACAGCCACAACTTAGTTCTCCGAATTTAGGTCAAGAAAAGCGCGATTACAACAAAACACACTCGGTCCTAAAACACCAAAGTGAACTGAGCAATTTCCCAGCAAGGAACAAAGACAAAACGCAAAAAGAAACAACTAATAAATTCCATCTTAGAAGCTGGTCCACAAGAGAAACTACGGCTACATCAAGAGCTGGAAAAACCGAGGTCGAATTGACGAGCATGGTCCCATTTTGTTTTAATGAAAACAACGTGCTTCGAAGACCAAGGCTTTCGATATTTCTTGACAAAAATGGAGCAAGTCGTGTAAGTTATAAACTACAGTGTAAGATGAACCTAACCGAGAGAGAGAGATTCACCCGATCTGAGGATCCTGAAACAGGATCCAGGATCCGGAGAAACGTTAATTCAAAAAACACCCCATTTATTAGGACACAAGAACAGTCAGTTAACAGTTACACACACATCATGCGAGAGTATCTAGGAAGCAGCAGCATGCCCAGTCATCCTTAGGACACAACTCACATGAAGCAATCTTGAAAGCTCCCAAAATGCTTTTGACTCAGCCAGATCCAGAAAAGGAAAAAAAATAAAAATCGAAAACTCCAATACAGAAGAGGGCAGCTCAAAAGATTTTCCAACTAGCTCTCTATTGTTTAAAGAACCAGATCTGATAAACGTCATGAGAATCTACTGCAGAAAAATTAACACTTCAGAAAAAAAAGATCATCTCATGCAAGAGAGAGAGAGAGGGGAAGATTACAACAAAAGTGTAGAGCTCCCTTCAATCCAAAAAAGGATTCAGACCAGAAGGGGCAAGTGAAGCTCCTGGCATATGCAAGCCACAAGCCTATCCCAATTTTTCATCCTTCTTTGTTGTATTCTTCATTTCTCTTTTTTCCTTCTTTTTATGGGCTTCCATTCGAGAATGAGTAGATTTAATGGGATAGGAGTGTGGGATCCATAGACCAGCAGCTCAACTCACCCAGCCAAGAACCTCTATTGGACTTAAAGGAGCTCCAGACTCCCTCCACACTAATCCCCTCTCTCTTCCCACGCAAACCCTAGAAATCAGTCAAAACCAGGGAAATCAAGACTCACTTCAATATCACAGCATGAAACTCCCCACAGATCTTCAAACCCTAGCGAGAGAGAGAAAATGAAGTGGAAGAACCAAAAAGGGTAACTTGCAAGACCCAAGATGCAGCCCACGGGAAGAACTTGAGAAACACTTCAAAAGAGGAAGAAAAAGCAAAAGAACGTTCAGCAGAAAACACCAACTACAAGTCATAGGAACCCTATCTAGCAGCTAGGAGGGCCTCACGTCTCTCTCTCTCTCTCTCTCTCTCTCTCTCTGTGAAGCTAAAAATGACCAAAATCAACCGTATAAGAGACGGTAAGGAAGCCAGAAAAAGAGTAGCTATGGTGGAAAAAGGAGCGAGTGATGGGAGACCATTTATAGCGGTTTTGGTGAAAAAAAATAACAGAAAATGTGTGGTGGGCCGGCCAAAACAATGGCTTAAGCTTGGGAAAAAAGTCTTTTGGAACCGGCTTTCCCATAGATTCTCTCTGTCCAATAATCACACTTTCACGTGACTCTCTCTGTCAAAAAAACTACAGTAATTTAACCGATGCGTATAATATGTATATCCCTCGGGAATGATTCTTCGGTGGGAAGTTTAGCACGAGAGGTTGAGGTTATTGGTGGATAATTCGGTTCACAGGAACCAAATGCGATCGAAAAGAGTTTTTTTTTTTTCCCATATGTTATTATGCATCTTTTGGTCTAAAGGTGAGGTTTATTTCGACCCAAAAATAAACAATCGCAAGTAATTTTTTTATGTAAAAAAATCTTTGGCATCGTTTCCACTTTGTGTCATCTTTTAAGAAAATGTCCCTATTTCATACCCTTATTTGCAATTTTTCCTAAAATGAAAAATTCAATCTGAACATTCCGAACCGTTTGAAAATAAACCAAAATTCTTATGCTAACATTTAGAAGTGCAGCGGGGTCCTCTCCATCATTTATGGGGCACGATATTTTTTAAAAAAATTTTAAGAGAGGCTTCGTGAGAAATGAATGGACTCTGCAAGAATTATCATCTTTTCACTCTAGCCATCTTTAAGGAGACAACTAATCTTAGCGCGTGCATACGGAGATGAACTCTCTCAAGTCTCAAGTGCAGAAATTAAGATATATTTTGCGCGGTTTAATTTCGAAAAACTTGCTTGTTATCATTTTCTAGCGCATTAGTCAATCTGTGCATGAGAAAAATACCCGACAATTGAAGATTGAAGTCGGATTTGAAACCCGAGTTTAGGACAGGACGGCAACCAACGATGGACGATATTATGGAATTTTGAACTTTATTTTTCACGCCTTAAATGAGAGCATTTATAAAAAGCATTACGAGTTCCAATGACTTTTAATGACCATTTTTCACACATTACAATGCATTTCAATTAATCGTTTGAGATAATCTGTACAGTACAGGTCGAAAATTTTGATTTTGCACAGGACTAAACTTTGATTTGACAAATTAGTGACGAGATTAATGTGTCAAAACAGGTGAAGTAAGCTCCGATCTATTTAATCTATTATGGATCGAATGTGATAAGCAACTATCTTAGAGAAGTACAAGCCCCACTCCATCGTCGTATCGAATCTATTTTAGCACTTTACATGGCAAAATAGTCCCTGCACATTTACATAAACCCTCAATTCTCGAATTTCATTATTGAGAAAATCGAAACATTTTTCGACCATATGGGGTCTCGCTTGTATTGAGCCAAATTCAAATTTATTCATTGATTTGGTGATCTATCGTGAACTATAAGATGCAAAAAAATAAAAAATGGTTTCTGGGCAGCGAGATGGTGCCGGAAACATAAACATAAAATTGTCACAAATCTTTGTTTCAATGTCTTCATAGAACATGTCCACATTGCCAAAAAGAAAACACATGCGAAAGATTTCACGCTTAAAAAAAAAATCGCATGACCTTGAAAAAGATACTTGTCTTCATTAAAATGCATCAAAATCCTGCTACTCCAGTTTCTGCATCTTCACGATCATCCATTCCTGATTGAAGCACATAAAAGACTAAAAGTCGAAACCTTGACCACAAGAGAAGAAAAGGTAAAAGAAGAATGATTAGAGCATGCGATATCTGCAAGCCATGACATGTTTTTCTCTTCGGTCAAGACTGAACCTGCATCACTGTTATCGAATTACCGAGGAGCAGAGAGACCAGCTTAACCCCAAAGATGGTAATACTTGAAATAGTTGCTGAAAAGCATCTGCTAGTATCAATTTCTAGAGTGACTAGAAATTCCTATTCAACGCAAATGTACAGTATTCTTCGAATTTTGGTCAAGAAAAACCGAGAGTACAATAAACACATTCGGTCCAAAAACACCCCCCCTTAAAAAAAAGAACTGAGCAATTTCCCAGCAAGAAACAAAAGCAAAATGTAAGAAAATAAATAAATTACATCCGGGAAGCAGGTCCACAAGAGAGAGAACGGCTACAACAAGAGATGGGCAAAAACGGCAGCCAATCGATAATCATGATCCCATTGTCTTCCAAAGTGAGAACAACGTGCTACAGAGACCAAAACTTTCGATATTTCTTATAGACCAAATAGAGCAAGTCTTTTACGTTCGAAACTACAGAGTAAGGTTAACCTAACCCAGAAAGAGAGAGAGAGAGAGAGAGATAAATTCAGTAGATCTGATGATCCTGAAACAGGATCTAGACAAACGTTTAAAAGAATCCCCATTGGTCAGGACACAAGAACAGTTACAGTTACACACGCATCATGCGAGAGTATCTAGGAAGGAGCAGCCTACACAGTCATCATTCAGGACACACTTCACATGAAGCAATCTTGAAAGCTCCCATAAATGCTTTTGACTCAACCAGATCCAGAAAAGGCAAGCAAAAACAGAAATAGACATTTGAAAACTACAAGTACAGAATAGGGCAACCAAAAAGATTTCAAAACTAGATCTCTTCTGTTCAAAGAGAAGGCCAGATCTCATAAACGTCACGAAAATCTACTGCAAAAAATAATAATAGTAACACCCTGAAAAAAAGGACCATCAAGCCAAGAAGTCACCAACATCATCTCATGAAGGAGATTACAAAAAAAAAGGGTAGAGCTCCCTTCAATCCAAAACAGGATCAGACCAAAAGGGGCAAGTGAAGCTCCTGGCATATGCAAGCCACAAGCCTATCCCAAAAATTTCTTCTCTGTGTCTTCTTCATTTCTCTTTTTCCTTCTTTTTTGGACATTAATTCCAGAATGACTGGATTTAATGGGATAGGAGTGTGGGATCCATAGACCAGCAGCTCAACCCACCCGGCCAAGAACCTCTATTGGACTTAAAGGAGCTCCAGACTCCTCTATATTAATCTCCCCTCTCTTCACATGCAAACCCTAGAAATCACTCAAAACCAGGGAAATCAAGAATCACTTCAATATGACCACATGTAACCCTCACAGATCTTCAAACCCTAGCGAGAGAGAGAGAGAGCAGGAAGTGGAAGAAATGAAGGGTAACTGGCGAGACCCAAGATGAAGACCAGCCTGAAGAACTCAGAACGCTTAAAAAGAAGAAGAAAAGAGGAATCAACGAGGATTTCGTAACAGGGGAACAAACAAAACAAGGGAAAAAACAAAAGAGGGCTCAAGAGAAAAACACCAACTACAAGTCATGGGAAACCTATCTAACAGCTAAGAAGGGCTCACACCTCTCTCTCTCTCTCTCTCTCTCTCTCTCGGAAAGCTAAAAATGACCAAAATGTACCGCTCAGGAGATGATAAGGAGGCTAGCGAGAGAGGAGCTATGGTAGAAAAAGTAGAGAGCGATGGGAGACCAATTAAAGTGGCTTTGGTGAAAGAAAATCACAGAAAACGAGCGGCGGGCCGGTCAAAACAGTGGCTTAGCTGGGGAAGAAGTCTTTTGGGGGAACCTGGCTTCCCAAAGATTCTCTCTGTTATGCAATAATCACGCGTTCACGTGCCTTTGTACAGAAATCTACAGTAAACTTAATGGATGTATGTGGTAAACACATCGATTCTCATAAGTCGCTCGTGAATGATTCTGCAGTGGGAAGTTCAGCAGGAGAGAGGATGGGGTTGTTGGTGGATAGTTTGGTCCGCAGGAACGAATGCGTTGGAAAAGACTGTTTTCTTTTCTCGGTTCCATCTATTATTATGGATCTTTAGGTCTCAAGATGGAGTTTATTTCGAACAAAACAAACAAAAACAAATGCAAGTGTATAATAATTTTATATCTTCGTGGTCATCGCCTTCAGAAAAACACATTCTCACGAAAAGAAATACATTATTATTATTATTACATCCGCTATTAATATAGAATTCTTTTCAAAATCATGACATATGAATTAGTTCGGTTAGACATACTTAAGTATACATGTAACTTGAGCAATAATGAATATGAAACATGTTAGTTACATAGACATCGATGCCTAATAAAAACCCAAAATGTTCACTTTATATTTGGAAGAATAACTTACTCATTTTACGAATCAATCAGTTGTCGTATCTTTATAATTTGTATTGGCCTTCCAATACCTTCCATTGCCAATCGACCCCATTCTCTTGTTACCTAGTTGATTAGCCTCTAAAGTTGGACAAGAAACTCCAAGGTCGCATCCAATCCCCGTCTACCCGATGATCATGCTTGATTCATCGATGACTGACTTCAACTGGCACGCCCCTTTTCAAGGGGCATTAAGAATTTCTCTCCTACGAATGCCAAATGCTAAAGAAAAAAAATTTGAAAATTATTGTTTTGGAAAAAAAAAGCTATAGAAAATAAATAAATTGGAAAACAATTAGGTGCATTGGGTTTCATGCGTTGCTACATCTTAGCTATTAAATTTCATGGATTTTAATAAAGGGCCCACGTAATTCAAGTAAGCCGTGTTTCAAATGTGTTTTTAATTATGAGGTCCTTAAGTATGCCATAAAATTAAGAATACAATTGAAAAACATCGCGATAAGAAAATACATCATTGTATAAATATATAGTGTATAAATACATCAAGTAAAATCATTAGATAATACAGTTACACGCACACAATGAACACATAGATATACCTAAATAAATTGAAAAATTATAAGATGCATCACATTCAATTTCAATTTTAGTATCACATGATCTCGGGGATGCAGTGTACCAAGCTTAATCTCATTGTTTTGCACTAAATACGACATTGAATCAATGCAAGCTGATCATCGATGTTTTAATGTTTGCGATGAGTGAACATGAACTTGACAAGGAACCGAAACGTGCACTTCACGACATTGAAGATTTGAAAGATTGGACAGAAATTAAGTGCTATGGGATTTAAAATACACAAGATTCGTCAAGGGAC